CTTTGTCTTCAGCGGTTGTGTCGGGAAGGTGAACATCATAGAATGCCAAGTTAATAGAAGAAAGTATTCTTGCATTGAGGGAGTACGTGAGTGGAGGCCCAATGTCCTTCTGCTACCTTAATACTAAACCTGTAAATATATGCACATAGATCTATTTCCCCATCCTGATATATAAATATATTTGCATATGTACATGCCTTTATTTAGAACTCTATAAATGCTCTTAGCCTCCCAGCCCTTTCCTCTATTTCCTTTAACTTTTCCTCTTGTCCCACTATCATGCTCAGTCTTCATTTGGGTTTCAGTAATTCCTCTTGGTTACATTACCCTTGATCACGCCCTACCAGGCCTCCCACACCCTCCTCACCACCAATTTGGATCACTTGTTGTTCCCTTGTCCCTGGGTTTGTTAACATCACTTCCTTCTCCCCCCCTCTCCCTCTCCCATATCCCCCCAGAACTGTTGGTCCCGTTGTTTTCTCCTCCAGATTGTTCATTCAGCCCATCTTATTTAGACAGACCTGCGGAGATATTAACATGCACAAAAACAAGACAGAGCAAAACCAAGAAATAATATACAACAAAACAACAACAAACCAATGACAAAAAAACAAACAAAACAAAACACAGCAAGAAAGGAAAGCTTGTAGTTAGTTCAAGGATCATTTGTTGGCCTTTAGGAGTGTTTTTCTAAGGCTAGGAGTCTTTATAGAACAAGAAAGCCTCATCTTATCCCAAGGAGCAGCTGGAGGTTTTGAATTGCAGACTTTGTGCTTAGCAGCCCAACTGATAGCATATAGGACCACAGGGGCTCCTATATTGTTATTTATGTACGTAAATATACAATATAATATGCAAAGTATTTTATATATACAAAACACATATGACAGATCCTATATTATACAATATATGATATGTATTTCATATACACTTTAAAATATAAATTATGTGTACATTGATATAAATTATAACCCTTTTAGAATTGAAAAGCAAGCATAGATAAATTAAGGTTCATTGGATTCACCTGTCTGCAATGTGATCTAACTGGAATTTAAAAGCAGACCAGGCTGTCTTGGAGAAAATTCAACTAGAAATGCCCTTAAAATTGAGGACATTGGGATTGTCTCATGTCCTTTGTGCATGTTACTGGGACATGCTGCTTGGCATGATGGTCATACCAAGACAGAGGGCCAGCCAAAAAGAGACCCTCAACAAGATGAGTTGATACAGTGTTTGCAACAACGGGCTTACACTTAATAACAATGGTGAGGGTGGCACAGGACCAAGGAATGTTTCATTCTGTTATACAGAGCGTTTTTGTGATTTGCAGCTAGCTCATTGGCACCTAACAACAGAAAGAACAAGTGCACAACGTTCTTCTCTTCTGTAATCCAACTAAATAAATCATTATTGAGTAATTACTACGTGTCAAGCACTATGTTAAGCCCTGGACATACAAAGATAAATAAGGCAAAATTTAAAGAAACCTCAATATCTACTAGGAAAAACGAACAGATCCGATTGTCGGCAGCACAATGAGAAAAGTGTTCATGGCAGAATGGGGCTCAAGGAAGAAAAGGAAGAACGGTGTTATTTCTCCCTGGGAAGTCTTCACAGAGAATGACACATTGACTTGATCATTAAAAACTGAATAGGATTTTACAAGGTTAAGAAAAGAAGATAGAGCATTCAAAGCAAAGGAAGCATAAGGGAGGGCATGTTTATGCACCAGCAAGAAGCACAGATGGCAAGAAGTCCCCTTGGTGGCATCACTTGCTTCGTAATGCTAACCGAAAGGTTGTTGCTTTAACCCATCCAGGGATATTGCAGAAGAAAAGGTCTGCTTCCATTAATATTTTAGCCAAGATAGCCTAATGGTGCGGGGTCAACTAAGTAGCAGATGAGGTTGCCATGAGTCAAAATCAACTTGCTGGCAACTAACAAAACAGGCTGGCAGAGCTTAATGGACTGTGGGAGAAGCTGGGGCTGTAAAGGAAGACGGGCATCAGCTTGCAGAAGGTTCTGAAGAACATATAATACTTTTGAGATTTATCCTGGAAACAATCAAAGATATGGGCACTGGAAAAAGCATAACAAGAATTTTCTTTGGAGAGTTAATTCTGTTTGTAATGGAATGAATCATTTGATACATGGAAACCTCTGATCAAAAATAAAATTTGATTGCGCAAACAATAAATGATGGGGCGTTGGGATGAAATGGTTTGATGTATTCTGAACACATTTCAAGAGATCGGTTTCTTAGATTCCGAAGATGGGCGGTGTAAATATAGATAGCATGTTCCTTTAAAAACAAAACAAAAAACCCTCCAAATGAAGTGGTTTGAGTGGCTAAAAGGAGAGAGAAAGAGAGAATTGAAATGAATTTGAAGTCTGCAGTGCAAACAGTTCATCTCAAACAAACAGATTCCAGATAATGCATCAATAGTAGAACAATGTCAGTTACTTCCTCTCACCCACCTACCCCAATGGTAGCGATGAATTTGCCAGGGTTCCCCCTCGCACCATCTACGTTCTCTTAGACCAAGACCACCCA